GTGTGTGACGAGTCTAGCGCGCTCTCGGGAGTTTTTTGTGTTGGCGGACGGCGCTTCAGCGGTGGTCGTTCCTGTGTCGAGTGGGTTGCGCACTTCAGGCTGCACTACCCCCCTGTCGTGCTGCAAACGGCCGTTTCCCCTGTGCGTCTCAGCACGTAAAAGAGCATTTCCCTAAAATTTCAAATTTTCCCAATTTCTCTAAAAGAGTACAATAAGCAGGTGCATATTTGTAAAGACGACGGATCGTCTTTTTAAGGATGCCGTTTCACCCGTGAGTTTCTGGATGCGGTTGTTACCTGAATCCTCCTTCATTGTCAGCAGGCAGCAGCGGGCGGTTTGAGACCGTCAACAAAGGTCCTACTCACGCACCCTCTGCCAAACTGTGGAAAATGACCATCTCGGAGCTGCGGGCCAGGCTCTGTTTCCTCCAGGGGGGGCGGAGCTCCATTGCCTCTGCCGCGATCTAGTGTTCGTTCGTTTCCTCCAGGGGGGCAGAGCTCCATTGCCTCTGCCGCGATCTAGTGTTCATTCTGGCGGCAGCCAGGCGTGGACTACTTCGGGCAGTAGCACGGGCGGTCTGAGAGTTACAGTGGTGGCAAGCCCCTCAGGGAACCAACCCTCGGGGGACCATCGCTCCTCTAGTGCTTCGCAACCAGTTGAGCCGCCAAAGGAACGCGCTGGGCCCTCTTCAAAGTGCGTACCAGCGGTATCCTTCGGTGCTCCTCCCGACGACCGGATGTCGATCACTGCATCGGAGGGAGAGCTCTCTGGAGAGGAAGATCCGGCTGCGCTGCCGCCCTCCGGGATGGTGACAGGGCCTGAATCGGATCCAGAGATGTCGGCTATGCTTCTACCCGCCTAGAGGGCAGGGCTTGAGTGGAAACCTTCATCGCGTCCCAGGCCCTCGAGGTTGAATGATTGGTTTCTCGGGGTGGCTCGCGCTGGTTCTCAGCGTCGGTTGCGATGCAATTGTGTCCTAATACCGCCTCCACGGAGGAAGCTGCTCTTTGGGGGATGGTGAAGGCACCTCTCTCTCCCGCGGAGGAGGGCTGGGTGGAGAATCTGGAAAATCTTGACAAGAGTGGTTTTCTTTGTCCCTGGGTCCCAGGAGGGCACGGAGAGTCGAGGACGGACCAGCACCGGACCACACTCATCCTCCTTCATTGTCAGCAGGCAGCAGCGGGCGGTTTGAGACCGTCAACAAAGGTCCTACTCACGCACCCTCTGCCAAACTGTGGAAACAGGTAAGCGTTGCACCGCACACTCAGACCCCTCTGTCTTGCGTGCGGAGATCGCAGTCCTACTGGCGAAGGATGCGATAGAGCCGATCCCTTTACAGCCCTTACGTCATTGTATCCGAGAAAGGTGGTGGGTTACGACCAATCTTGGGTCTGTGTGTCTTGACAGGTAAGCGTTGCACCGCACACTCAGACCCCTCTTCGGTCCACTCACAAGCCGCCCGAGTTGGGTCCGTGTGTTCCACCTTGCTGTCCCACTGCGAGTACGGCGGTGGTTCCGCTGGTCTAGCTTGCACAGTATCTGGGTGCCTGGCTAGCGCTACCCAACCCGTCTCGTTGGCTTCGTCTCGTTGGACCATCAGCCTCGGCTATGCGATTTAGTTCGCCCGGCATCCCCCCCGAGAAAGGTGGTGGGTTACGACCAATCTTGGGTCTGTGTGTCTTGAACCGGGCCCTTCGCCGGTTACCGTTCAAGATGTTGACGCAGAAACACATCTTCGGATGCATCCGTCCCCAAGATTGGTCTGCATCAATCGACCTGAAGGATGCGTACTTTCATGTGTCGAACCTTCCGCGCCGCACAGGTCTCCAGGCATGCTGTGGTTTACACGGATGCCTCCACCACTAGCTGGGGGGCCACGTACAACGGGCACACAGTGTCGGGGGTATGGACGTGCCCCCAACTGCACTGGCATATCAATTGCCAAGAGTTGTTACCTGCCCTCCGGGCTGTCCCTGTCGCCCCGTGTCTTCACGTAAGTAGCAGAGGCAGCCCTCGTTCCCCTGAGAGAACAGGGCGTTCGCATTCCCAACTACCTCAATGACTGGGTCATACTAGCTCAGTCTCAGCATCAGTTGTGTGCACACAGGGACTTGGTGCTTTCGCACCTTAGCCGGTTGGGCCTTCAGGTCAACTGGGAAAAGAGCAAACTCTCCCCGA